ATTGAATGCAAAAAAATAACAGGTGGTAGAACTCATCAATTTATGAAACTTTGCTATATAACATTTTTTTGAAAACTCTTTTTTTGGCCTTTTCCACCTTCGTTTTGACGAACCGTTCAGTGTATCAAAATAATTTCACTCGAGGTATTTTGAGAGTGGCATGCAAATTCGGACATTACTTCCTGGTAGAATTTAGTTGTCCATTTGCGCACAGTGAATTTTTTTGTGATGGTTTTCCAAGAAAAGTTTAGTCAATGGGGATAGAAGTTATTGCTATATAAAAATTTTAATTTCTACAGATACAAACAATTTAAATCAACGGGTGGAATATGTTATTCCTATGTAAACAAGAACCGTAAAGTGAAGTTATATACTGTGCGCGATATTAATCCAATGTTTTCTAAAATATGTGGTGTGCATGGTCACGAAAATATTGGTGTAAATATATATGTTGAATCGGCAAAAAGTTAGTAATGGGGTGAAACGGAAAGCTGCAGAGGGTTTGTCCGAGAAACCATTTAAATTAATCAACTGTGAGGTTAATGAACAGGAAAATGTTCTAGATATTCTGAATAATAGAGATATTAAATACATAAGAAACGTAATTAGTACAACAAAGCTTCAAACACTATCGAAATTGTCCCATTCAGCAGAAGAAGTGCACGATTTTTTTGAAAGAAATGAAGAATTCTTTAGCTGTCAACAACAAAATATTTAGCGTTGTCGTATTTTCAACACAAGCGAATTCAAAATTTTTATGTGAACAAGAATAAATGTATGCAGATGGTACATTTGCATACTGCCGTAAGCATTTTTGCAGTTATTTACTGTTCACGCTTATAAAAATTATCACTACATTCCTCCTGTCTTCTATACAAACTTATGAGAAAATGTTCGAACTGATTTTGCGAAAATGTGAATGACTTGGTTACTGTTTTATTCCAATAAGGATTGTTGCAGATTTTGAAACGGTTATTCATTTAGGCATGAGAAAAATGTCTCCTGCTATCAATATTATTGGATCTCGTTTTCATTTATCGCAAGCATGGTAAGAATCTGTAACAATTAATGTTCAATTGTTTTTAATTGTTTGCGATTTGTGACAGGTGGCGTAAAATTCAGCAACTGGAATTAACAACTGAATATAAACACTCCCCATTGGAAAATGATTGGGACATATTTCTGGGCTAACAAGTTGATGAATTGTTTGTCATTGAACTTATGGAGGATTAACCGTAAGTTGGCTGTCAAATGTGGGCAGCTAACTAACACTGCTTGTATGTCGCGCACTACTAACGCGTGTGAATCTTTTCATTCAGGATTCAATACATATTGCTCTTCTCCTCATCATAATATTTACGTATTTGTAGCAGCATTAAAATCCATGTAAATAGATACATACGGGAAACTAAATAGTACGGAGAGCAATCGTATGGTAAAGTCAGACAACGACAGAACTTCATATAACAAAAAATTGTAGAGTATAATGTAAATCGTATTTCTAGATATGATTTTGTTAAATGTATCTCATATAAATATAACAGTATTTTGTTATAATTTGTAACTGCATACTAACATTGTTTGAATAAACAGTTATTAAATTAATTTTTATTTATTTTCCTAATGAAAAAAATGAATTTAATATGTTCCAGTATAAATCAGTTTCGTTAGAGTCGGGTAGATATCTGCCGAACCGGAGTTAGTGCCATGCGTAAAGGCATAAGATGACCACGGACCGGAGTTAAGGCGCAAGATTAGTAAACGTCTAACTTGCACCGGAGTTAAGGTTTTCCGCTTTATACAAAAAATATAACCCATTAATTTATTGGTCCTAAATTTAGAACCTTACAAAAAATGTGCATCGGCCATTGTCTAGAAGCAACTTTAGCAAAATAAAGACACACCATTTGGTCCACTACAACATATTTCGTCTTATTGTAAAAGCTAAGTGTTTCAGGAAGCTTTTTTCCATCCATAGTAACATCCACTGATTGATCTAACTATGTCAACAGAAGTACATACATCTTTATGACTCTATCTTTAATAAGTATGTCGTAAGTGTTGTATTCGCGTCGTTCTGAAATATGTGGGTAGAATGCATTTGCAATGGTCTATTTTCATATTTTACGCTCAGAGGAACTTCTTTCCTGTTGCGATTCAAAGTACCCATAAGACTTGTCGACTTCTTTTGAAATGTGTTGGCCAATTTCAACGAAGTGAGGTAATTATTAGTCGTATCATTCTTGCTCTTTCCCAGTTAGTTTTCCATTAGCCGCAAAACAACTTGTTCGCCAACACTTTGGTCTTTATTTCTTAGATGATTACTTGATCAGTACCAGTATAGGGGTAACCATTCACAATATATTTTGATTCTACGCAGACCGCGAGACAGAATTATATGCCAAACGTATCCAACTTATTTGCTATGTACTGCGTAAACGAGCACCTAGCCTTAGAAGGCAGCAGTGCTTCGTAATGAGGTAATTCCAGGTTTTTAACAAGCAGCACTATTCTCTATAACTCCATTCCACACCGCAGAAGCCAGAGCAAATTTGTCGGTTTTAATCGTTCAGATCTTGTTATTAGTTTCACGTTAAGTGCTAGATGTCTTACAGTTTCCTTGAATTTATTATGTGACATGGTCTGCCTAAAAAACCGAGGACCCCTATTGTGGACCACAAAGAGTTGGTTGGGAATTTTTTTGCACTGTACACTCCTCCTGCGTAGTCCATTGGTTATTTGTCAGCTAACGAACGTGCTTCTCAATCATGCATTTTTGTACATGACGCAACACACTCGCGTTGATTACCATAAAAACAACTTGGGGTCAATCTGCCTCCTTCGGATTTCTACAGTAGTTGTGTTGTTATTGTGGAAATAACTCAACAGGCTAAGCCCAGTTAATAAGTTAAATTAGACATTGTAAAATTAACAATTAAATATACATGTTATGTTACAAATTAAACCAGTTAATTTCATTTAACAGTAATTTATTGTGGCAAATAAGACTTTGCATTAAAATATTAAAATTTATGAAAAATATAAAATTATAACTATAACAAATAAAAAATTTACAATATTTTCAAATAGCAAAAGTGGCCAAATTTTCTTTCTAGTGATATATTATACAATGGATAAATATAATACTATACATAATTATGTTTCTCCTACTCATTGTATAAACCTTTTAGTAGAATTAATTAATTTCAGCAAATATCATTGATTAATTATTATTTCAGAACTAAAAACTCGAAACTGTATGTACAATTTACAGTACACGTTATAAATTCAAGTCTGTTTAGCATAAACCGACATAATGGGTATTCGACCATATATTAATAGTAACCCCAAAAATGTCAAATTAATTGGAAATCTCAAAATGATATTAAATAAGCAGGGCAATTACATGGAATAAGTTACTGAATTTTATTTTTACCACTGAAAGTTCATTTGAGTTATTCTTATGCACAATACAATGCTGTGCATAATTCGTATCACCCAGGTAAGTTTTTGGATTTTCTAATAGAAATATATAGGGGAACGCGGCGCAAAAAGGTCATAGCCGGCAAAGTGAACAGTTGCTTAATTAAAGATATCTTCTTGAAAAATTTTTTTTTTTAAATTACAAATACATACATGATTTTTTGTCGCTAGATATCGCTAACAAAAATTTTTAAATGTTGCACACAATGTTCTGTTGTGCGTGTGCCTGTTGGTGGTCTCAAAACGGTAAGTTTTTATGTACTTTGTGTAAGCTTCAGCTAAGATGATACTGTATATTTATGATACTACATTATCTCATATTATAGCCCTGACATTATTTTATTGATATATTGTAAAATTTAACTGTATACGTTCATGTTTCAAGGAATATAACCTGAAATATCTTTGAAGTACATTTGGGGGCAAACTGGACCCTCGTATTATGGGGCACACTGAACCAGTTGTCCGCTTTGCGGGAAGACGATGCTGCATGCATTTAATGTAGTTCTCTGTTTAGCGACTCTAAGGCTAAAGAAAAATGGGTCCAGTGCATAAAATGTAAAAATTGGGCTCATGAAGATTGCTCGGGGTTTAACAAAAAAATGAAAAATTTTATTTGTGATATTTGTGCCTAAAAACCTATCAATTGTTTATATTTTTTGTTTGTATTTTATAGAAGATATGTCATTGAGTTTTTATTGAATTTTGAAATAAAGTGTTTTATATTTTTTCAAAATCTATTTTATTTTGTACTTATTTTTATGATTTTCTATTAATATGTCCACTTTACCCAATCAGGCGGACCACTTTACCCACCCTATAGGGGTAAAGTGGACCAAATTCACGGTTGAAGTAAATTGTAAATAAATAAGAAAATATTTAACAATTGACGTTTTTAGTTCTTTATAATAGTTATAGCTGAATGTTTGATGAATCAGCATAAAGGGCTAAATCGTTGATACATATAGTGCATATAAAAGTTTATTTGCCCATTTTTCCATATCTATGTTCACTTTACCCCCCCTTCCCCTAATATGTACAGTTTTTGAATATTATTCAAGTAGAATCAAGCTCATAGAGTGTAAATTAAAAATAAAATTTATTTAAAAAAAACGCTTCAAGTTATGTGAATTAAATATTTAAGTGAAAGAAAACAAAATTCACTTCATTTGGGTATACACAGGTGCCTAAGGCTGTGTAGCCACCTGTATGTATTCTGGTTAATGTAAAAACCTACTATGTGACAATGACATTCACACAGAGCTGATTGTTTCCATTTTCCACAACAACCAACAGCAATTTTATTAGAAACTAATCTTCGACCCTGAACATAGCGATACGCATCCACTTCCATACAATTTTATAGGTCTCGGAAAGATAGCACATTTACGAGGATCGGATGTTTGTTTGATACCCGTTGTCTCGTGGAATTGTAAAACGAAAAGTTAAATGCAAATCAGAACCTATTCTATTACGCCATCAGGAACCCAATTTTTAATTTTCTCTATTTTACTCACCTTTGAGAGAAGCAGTTCCGTAGAAGAGGTAGATCAATAAAAAGCACCACATTGTTTATTAACCCTTTAATCAAGTTGCATCACTGACATATTTATTACTGAGTCATAAAATAGTTTTAACTCTGATCACTGTAGCTTACATTTCCAATTTATCTCTCATAAAATATGTATTTATTGCTCGATTTAAAAAAGCTCCCGATTCCAATTCACCCTGCAATAAAATCAACCTGAACGAGAAGTTTCATAAAAGTTTGCCGTTTAAAAATGAATATTTGTAGGGGAGTGGAGCTGTTCTCTGTGATTTGAATGGATGGCTATAGCTGCATTTAATATTACGGGACACTACGTTGAAATTGTATGCCTTGTAGACAGTTTAGAGAAACTCAACCCCCACCCAGAGGGGTGTGTAAATTTCTTTCAAAGTGAATTAGTATGTAGACTACATATAGTATATATTTTACGTTTTCAACATACCCTTATCAACTATGTATATAACTTTAATCGTAAGGGGCTGTTTAAACAAAAATTATTTTGTTTTTACTAACGAAATTTTGCAAAGACATTTAGTGTCCTTATTCCGTTCTTTTGAAAAAAATCGTATAAAAAGAAACTGAAAGGCTGTAACTATATTTCTCACAAATTATATTTGTGTGATTGTTTTCATCTTGATGTATAGACTTTTCGATAAAAATATGTCACTTAAGATATATTTAAAATATTCATGTATTCAGTCATATGCTATTAAACTAATTTAACCTTTCGAAAATATGAAAGAAAGCTTTGACATAATCCATCATCTGAAAGTAATGGACTTACTACATACTGTTTTATTCTTCATAGGGTTTTTCTTGTTTGATAATTTTTATATAGGTGTATTATTTTGAAATATTTATTTGCTGATGCCCAACTAACCAAATTTTTTTGCACCTATATCAAAATCATGTCATATTCATTATTGCCGAACATAATTATAACTGTTGTATTGATTGCTTGCCCATGTTTAAGGTGTAGGCATAACAATAAAAAGAAAACAAAATATTGTTTGTAAAAAAAAATATTTATGTTGTACAAACGTAATAGCAAGATAAAATATATAATTAAATTAGAATGATCTGTTTTAGACAGTTGTTGCTTTAAATGCTTCTACAGTTCCATTATTACAAGTACGTTTTGAAAGCTACAAAGCGATATTTTTGGCATATGATGGTCAATATATTACATGCAGAAACATACACACTATTTGATTAAAAACAAACTCATGCCTTTTGGTGGACATATAGCATCTAGTTAGTCGGATAATAGTTACTTTTTCAATTTAAAGGCGCCTTAATTACACTACGCCTTTTCATAATGATTTTTTTATTATTTTTATTATACAATAAACTAAATCAGCTTCAAATTCAACAGTATGTCACACACAAATATTATTCACGACCTTCAAATTTTTTTGCAAACACGAAATTTTGACAAACAATACGATGAAAATTTAATTTGTCGTTTGTAAAAATCAAATATTTTCTTTTTCTACATGTTAAAGTTAGGATGTTATTTATAATTGAGGATACATTGTGAAAATTTAAAAAAGGATATAATTTTACAAAAATTTAGGTACACTGTATTACATTTCGGGTAAATCTAAAATGAAACGTGAACGATTTCCTAATTAGCTATTAATGTCTCGTGTTAAGTCCATTAACAACTTTTGGTAACATGCAAACTTGTTTCCGCAATTTTATGAATCAAAATTTTGTGATTTCTAAATATTTGTAAAATATCAAAGGACCATACATTTTTCAGTCCAACAACGGATCTTTTAACAAAGACAATCATTCATCATTCATAAAATATATGATATTTTTTATTGATTCTTAGTCAAGTAAATTTGAATTAGACTGTAGTTTCTTTTGAAAACATACTAAACAGTAAAATTATAAACCGAAAAATAATTTTGGTCTCATTTTTGTCATATAATGTTTCCAAAGAATGTTTCAATATTCCTTTTTGATTCATGGTATATTCAAAATGTTTGCACCTGCAAAAATTTCAAACTTGATATACAAAAAAATAGGTACTTTTTTATTTGTACATTAAAGTAAATGAATCCCTTAAAGTCTCTTACTGTTTGTGTCACTATTTAAATCATTTTTCATAAAAGTGCATCAGCAAACGTATAAACATAATAAACAGCTTTTTTATAATTATCTCGTAACTTTTACCCCGCGCGCACTTAATTTTAATTTACAGGTTTATTCTTCCATATTTTCGCATCTGTCACTTTCTTTCTCGTCCCGATCGCGGTGCGTTCACGTTGCGCACGTACACAACAGCTTCACGTAAAGCGTTGACGTCCGACGCAGCACTGACCGCGATCGTCGGCGTCGGGATGCTTAGACAGACGCCCATGCGCCGAAATCTTTGTTCCATATCGGAACAAGACGGTGCGAGATGGCACACGGTTCGACTGACGGCAAATAACCCCAAACCCTTTTGCTTGCCTCCGACACTGTCTGTTCTTTTTAAATCTGATATTCCCCTGGCGTAGCGAATCGCTGATATTTAGTGAAACAGGAGCGACAGACTTATCGGGAAAAGGCGATGGGCTTTGAAAGGAATGGATTTATGCAAGAAGGAAAGGTAAAAGGAACTTGGGGAATTTAAAAAACAAAATTATTTTTAGAGATTACTGTGAATAATGAATGGGCTGTTGTTTTAATATAGGCATTTCATGATGATTGTATTAATGATAGAGTACTATTTTAGCAACATACATATAGAGTTCCCTCCGTTACGTATAATATTGTGCTTTCGGTGAATTGTGATATAGATTTTTGCTTTTTGCAGCTAGAATATAATACTTGAAATGTGTTTTACATTATTTTTAAGTTGTTGCAAAAAACGTTTAAAAGAAGAACAATAATTCTTACAAAATCTTTCACTTAAATGTAAATGACAAATTTTATTAGATGTTTACACTTTTTATTAAGATACATTTGCTTCTTGTTCTCGAATAACCGATAAAAAAATTAATTGTGATTTACTGTGAGAAGCAAGAAAAATGCATGCATTTTGATTATTACCAATATGACTCTCGGTAGATTTTAAGAGACACGCACAAAAATGTAATAGATAAAATTTATTTTACGTGGGATACTCTCACATATCATCCCTGAGAGACCTTTGCGCAAAACCAAACACTATAAACACAATCGAATGCAGAAAGCAGAGATTATTGCAATGTTCGCATGAACTCTTATTTACACTTACAGTGCATACTAATTTGACGCTTGTTGTTCCAAAACTTGTTGTTATGATGTTACTATGTTTTACAAGTGTCAGCATGTTAATTTAGCTATACTATTGGAATGCTCTATTGTATTTTATGTTACGTGTAGTAATTTTATTTTCACTGTCGATTTCACTAAAATTATTAAACCTGCTCGTTCACTATGTTCATCTAATTCTGATACGTTGAAATATTAAGGAAAGGTAATATCGTGTAACAAACACAAAAACGCTAAGGTTGGCTTTGGACATGTGAATACAATTATAGGATGATAGGATGATGGGATGGTCAGGGGCGAGGGGAAGGTTTTTTCAGGGCAAATTACTTAGCTTATGATATGGAAGCATCTAATTGGCACCAACTTTTATAGCTCGTAGAGTAGTAAGTATGTGAATATATAGCGGTTCCAAAAAAATCTTGATTTGGAACCTAAGCAATCCACAGATCATTATTGTATGGGTTCCCCTTGTATCCAATGCAGATTTATTAAGCGACCCTATGTAATCACTAGAGAGCGGATTTTATGAAATTTGCATATCTGTTATTTTTTGCATATAAGTCTTGATATTTAATATGTGAACGAATCATGCTAATTAAAAATGAATACAGCTATAAAAAATTGCATATTTGCATATATTTGCCTTCTGCTGCATATTTCACCAAACGGGTGCATATTTTGCATTTTTATCAATTTTTGTACTAATTTGAAAAAAAAATTATCGTCATTCTATCGGAATTTATCTAGAAAGACGAAATTTTATGAATCATATTGCAGATATTGTCCTGAGTTTAAAATAACTAGGAAAGGTTTGGGTTTTATGGTAGTTTGGAAACACCATTGGGTATTAAGCCATCCTTCCAGGTAAATTCGCGCCCTAATTACTTTAGGAAATACCGTTCATTCCCAAAATTTTTGTTCGTTGGTTAAGTGGTGGTCTAAGGGACGTTATACTATTATTTTTCATCGTGAGTTTGTATTGAAAGCAATTAAAGGGATACAGGTGAATCAATATGTCGAAGAGAACTCAAATTAATTTATGAATTCAACCTTTTCCTGAACTTATTCTTCAAGAACGAACTGTGTTTTGTCGCGCCTGCCCTAAACCGGTAAGTATTTTTACATCTGTGGACGTAGTACGCAGTTTTTCTATTTGCAAATACTTATACTTATTTTAGAATCACCGGAAAAACTTTTTGTTAGAATATTTCGAAAAAAATCTAAAAATAAATTGTTACCAAAATAGTAATTAAATAGTGGATTACTACTATTTTTTAATTTGTCCTATTTATATTTATTTTTTAGTATAAGAATAATATCTTTAAAAACGTGATTTATGTGTTAGTGAGATGTAATTAAACACTTTGCAATGTGATTTCTGTATTTTTTGTAATAAAACGTAAGCTCGGGAACCCTGTTTTTGTATTTTATAAATAAATTTAGTTCGCTTTTTTTTAATTTTTGGAGCATATGCATCTGCATATCTCTGCATATATTAAGAAAGTTACTGCATATTTGCATAAATTTGGTGCATATCATATGATCATATTTCTCAAAATTTTGGTGCATATTTTCCGCTCTCTAGTAATCACATACGAGTTCTACAATTTAGTGTTAATTAGCAGATGCTTTCATATCTTAAGTTAAGTGGATATATCGAATTTGTTCCGAAAGACAGCCCCTTTTGTGCCGCCTTATCCAAGATATGCAAAGGAAACCCTAGCGTCTGTGTATTGTCACAATATATACTATTTTGCTTAATAATGTCAGATTTTCAGAAATGAGCATAGTACTTTTGCGGCCACCGTTGAAACAAGTTGAATCCGAGAAGAAGAAAATTGATCCAAGCTTATTTCAGTAGAAATTCTCTCGTCCATAAAATACAGTACATCAAATTCAACGGTTTTGATAAATTAAGCATAAGATTTGGTATTGAGAATTTAAATTTTTTATAACAACTCTTATAAGTTAAAATAAAGATAAATATATAATGATCAAGTAAAAGTAAAAACGCGTGTTACGCGTTTGTTTCAAGTGAGTCTTCTCATTAGCAAATTTTGTGACGTCATCAACATTTTTGCATGGACACGTAAATCATTTTGGATAGATATAATAGGTAGTACTAATAATAACGGTAGATACAGTATTCCGAAATTTCCGCGAAAGTGAAGTGAGTCTTTGCCGTTGAATTTTCAGACTTTGTCCTCAAATTAGGAAACGGTGACTATCCCGAAAGAGACGGTATGATAGAAATCTCCAGCGAATTATGTACTATAGTAACTACATTTCGATCTAATAGCAAAAATTCATCTAGGCGTTGTCCATATATACGACAAACCTAAAGATTGATTGTGTGAAAGAGCTATTCTTACTCAAAAAAACGACCAACTAGCGGTCATTAATGATCTATTACTGAATTCATTTGAGGAGGACGAAATGGTGCACAAATCTACAGACACAGTGGTAAATGCAAACGAAGCAGGTATGCTGTACCATAAGTTACTGCGGGTGGGTACGCCTGTGATGTTGCTCAGCAAATTAGACCCCTCACCCCCAATCTTTGGAATGGTACTAGGCTGCAAATCAAATCTTAGGACATCGCAATGTAATCGAAGCCACCATTTTTATTGGGTCTTACCAAGGAGAAACAGTATTTGTTCCACGCATTTGATTGGTACTCAACGATCTTCCGTTTGAATTAAGAAGACTGAAGTTTCCATTGAAAGTGTGTTTCGCAATTGTGACTAATAAATTGGTCGCAAGGGCAAACATTTAAATTCATAGAAATTGATTTGAGGCCGAGGTGATTCTCCGGGTTTTACGTAGCGTGCCCGCGTGTAACTTCACCTTGCAGCCTGTTTATTCTGATGCCACCCTCTAAAGAATATATTATTATAAAAAATAAAAAACCTTCATTCCACGTGGTTGAACTGCTTTCTTCATATTTCAATCAGTACAGAAATATAATAGTTATTTTCCTAACGGCGTGCGGAAAGTGATACTTTTCCGCACTAGTGCGGGAAGTAAAATGTAAGTACATTTCAAAGATTTATTGATTAATGATTACAACTATTTATATTAACTGTAAAAGACCAATTTATATAATTATTTTTTTCATTGCTTTCATTTCGATCTGTCCCTTCAGTGGTTTTCATCTCAAACACCTTGCTAACATTTGCTGCCTCCTTTTGTTCAGATCCAACTTCAGCTTCGTTTTATCGGTGATAGTACAACTGTTACGCCAATACAGCTACTTCTGAAACTTTCTTTACTTGCTTTTCATTGCACCATGCCCAAAATTCCTTATAAGCCTTCTTATATCGGTCCTTACATTTTGTCGGTATTAGGTCTTGAATTGCATTCTCTGCTTCAGCAACTATATCCGAAGGAATAGAATCGCTAGAGGAATCTTTGTTTTCCATCTTCAATTGGACACACAGAACACAACACGATTAGGTATTATGGTATTATTGACAAATATTTTGCGAAAAACTTGTTTGTGTTTAAACAATTGCATTCGCAATACCTTGACTACTCAACGATATGATTTTCGAATGTGCTGCGATTTAAAATTTGACGAAAAACTTAATTGCTGAAAGATTTAACAGACGCTGTTAGGAAAAACATTGTTCCTTATAACGCGCGCGGGAAGTGCGATTCCGAAACGAGTGCAGGTGTTACTGAAACGAGCGTAGCGAGTTTCGGTACCTGCACGTGTTTCGGAATCGCTGACTTCCCACACTTGTTAGGAAAAATATTGTACACAACACGTTCGTGATGCCTGCTTCCCGCATTCACGCATATGCGACACTCCCTTCGGTCGTGCCGCAAACAAGCGTTCATGCGGGAAGCAGGCTATCCCGAACTAGTTAGTTGTGTAATAGTTATTTTTGCACTCATGATCTTTTTTGATGGCTTTCGTGCATTCACCAGGGTGCGGGCACAGATTACGGATACCAGATAGTTCACTCAGCTGTTGGCACTTTGAAGTCGGTGTCCCGAGATTTCAAGCGGTATTCACACTACTACGCACGCTCCACCAAAATTGGTTCGCAAGCTTTGAA